TCTTAATGATGAACAGGAAAGAGCTTTTCGCATAGTGGCAAATCATGCCACAATGACAAAAAGTGAACAACTTAAAATGTATTTAGGAGGAATGGGTGGAACAGGAAAATCACAGGTTATTAAGGCATTAATAGCATTTTTTGACAGACGTAATGAATCACACAGAATTATGATATTGGCACCAACTGGATCTGCTGCTGCTCTATTAAATGGTTCAACATATCATTCAGCACTAGGTGTGCAAAGTAAATCAAGACAAAATAGCAATGAGCATTCAACTATGGCACAGGTTAGGTCACGACTAGATGGTGTAGACTATATATTTATTGATGAAGTTTCTATGATATCATGCTATGAATTGTATAAGATAAGTGCCCAACTGGCTAAGGCAAGGAATAGTATGGATGCACCTTTTGGCGGACTCAATATGATCTTTGCAGGTGACTTTGCACAACTTAAACCAGTTCAAGGACAGGCTCTTTATGATGGATATGTTGGTACATCAGTAGATGCCTCCATGTCAGAGAGAGGACAGCAATCTGCTATAGGCAGAGCACTTTGGCACCAAATTACTACTGTTGTTATTCTAAGAAAAAATATGAGACAAAATACACAATCAGTGGAAGATGCCAAGTTGAGGACTGCTTTGGAAAATATGAGATATGCAGCATGTACTGCTGATGACATTACATTTCTGAGAAGTCGTGTTGCAGGAAGACGGCCTGACCAACCAAAGCTGGCTGACAAATGTTTTAGAAATGTCTCTATTATTACTGCTTTAAATTCACAGAAAGATCGAATCAATGAACTAGGTTCTGCACGTTTTGCAGCTGATACTGGCCAAACTCTAACTGACTTTTATTCTGTAGATACACTAGGGGTTGAGAGTGATCCAGTTACTGGAAAAAAGCCTCGTGGAAGACCTAAAAAAACTGCCATTCAGAAAACTATTTGCAAAATGTACTTTGGAACTTACGTCATTCTGCATCTGAACATATTCCTGGAAAACTTTCACTATGTATTGGAATGCCTATAATGATACGGAACAATGATGCAACTGAATTGTGTATAACAAAGGGGCAAGAGGGTTATGTTGTTGGATGGGATGCAAAGGTGGGGCCAAGTGGTCAATGGATTTTGGAAACTTTATTTGTAAAACTTGATCGCCCTGCCAAAACCATAAAGATTGAGGGGCTACCTGAAAATGTTGTCCCACTAATAAAGAATAGTACATCTATTGAGTGTCTCTGTCCAAGTGATCTTACCATATCTATATCACGTTCTCAGGTTTCTGTGTTACCCAATTTTGCAATGACAGACTATGCATCACAAGGAAAGACTCGACCATTTAATGTTGTAGACTTGAATAGCTGTCGAACTCACTTATCTTACTATACTGCTCTTTCAAGAAGTGCTACATGTAAGGGTACTGTAATTGTACAAGGTTTTGATCCATCAAAGATAACATGTGGTGCATCTCGATATCTGCAGCAAGAATTCAGAGAGCTTGAGCTTTTGGATGATATTACAAATCTTCGCTATACAGGCAATCTACCTGGATCAATTAATGGAAAACTAGGTAATGCTATTTTATGTCAATATCAACAACTTAAAGGAAGAGGATACTGCCCAGAGAATGTAATGGGACCCATCAGATGGAGTGAGGTATATCCTATGCAAACCTTTCAAGTTATAACTGACAGTTCATGGCAAGTTATTAATAAATCATCTAAGGATGGTTTGTTATCTGACAAATTGACTAATGAAGTGAATACTGAAACAAATAAAATAAACAAAAAATTATGTGGATCTTTTATTCCTGCCCAAGGATCTAATATGATTAAGACTAACTTGAAGAGAAAGTCTGCTGATGATCCAGAAATTGAGGAGCCAAAAAAGAAAAAAGTTAGAACTAGTTTTGGCCCTACACCTGAAGTTCCCATTGGACTTGTTTGGGACTCTGTTGATTACAGCTGTTCATATGACTCACTTTTTACAATTTTATGTGAGATATGGATTTACAATCCAAGAAACTGGACAAAAGCATTTTATACATTTAGTAATCAGGGCAAACTGTTAGCAGATGGATACAAAAAAGTTATTAGAAGTGTAGATACTCTAGAAAATATACGAAATGAAGTTCGTAGATCACTCAAACATGATAACCCAGTATTATTTCCAGATGGAGCTACTGGAACTGACATTCGTGATCTACTTTACTATTTCTTCACATCAGATCATAGTGTCTCTTTGGGTTACAGAAGGTCATCATGCATTGGATGCAACAACAATCATGATATGGATAATCCTCCAGAAAGAGTTATGTCAGTTTTAGATGGAACTTACAAATCAATCAATGATTGGTTACAGCATTGGCTAGAGGAACCTAGTATATGTGACTGTGGCTCTCCCACAATTATCAAAAGGATATATGATCAGCCCCCTTCAATACTTGCATTCAGTTTAAATACTTCAAGAGTAGCAATAAGCAAGTCTATTCATATCAAGGGAATAAATGGAAGATCTACAATTCTACCATTAAGAGGTATTATTTATTCTGGTGGTTTTCATTTCACTGCTTATGTGATCACTCCTGGAAAAGAGGTGTGGTATCATGATGGTATGACAACAAGAAGAAATTGCATCAAAAAGGGCCATCTTAATGAGTTCACAGAGGATGCACTCAAATCTTGCAGAGAAAAAAATTCAAATGGAGAATTTTTTGAAAGACAAGCAGTCACAGTAATTTAATTAAAGAAATAATTGTTGAAATATTTTATTTATTATATGATGAATTAAAAATATCTTTTGGTCAAGTTACCTTCTTAAAATTATATGAGCTAGCCAGA